AAAATTTTCACCACTTTTTTTTAAAATTATTTTTAATTTTATTATCAACCTATTTTTTTCCATAATTCATATTAAATTAAATTTTATTAATTTTAAAATTAAATTTTTATATATTTTTTGAATGTAAAAATTAATCTCGAACTAAGTTCCAGTCCCGAATATTACACAATATTTATTATCAGTAGAGTGCTCTTTACTTCTTTGCTTAAATTTTCCTCTTCTGGTCTATTATTTTCCATATTTTTTCAAGTAGTTCGTCGCTTGTCCAGTTATGATAATACCAAAGGTTGGTCATCAAAATACCACTCTTAAAAAATAAAACCTCAATATGTACAAAAAGTTTCATCCAGAAGCCCAAGTTAAAGCTTGTAAAGTTTGCCTGTAATAAGCTTCAAGAAGTCCGTAAGCTATACTGATCACTTTAAAATGCTACAGAATCAATGGAGGCTATTTAAAAATAAGAATGTGCAACTAGCGCAAGAGGCAGAGTTGGAGGAAGCTAAAACACCTTTCATCAACAAAATTTGATATTATTGTTTAAGAAAAAGTTGGAGGAATAAATTAATAAGTACTAAACAACCATCTTTTTAGTAATATGCATGAGTAAAAAAATTTAACTCATTAGTATTCCAAGTATTAAAAGCATTCAAACATGATATTAATATTTCAATGTAAATGGCAGGCATGGAGTTGAGAGTATACATGACTTCAGATGCTGATGGTGGAGTTCCTTTTTTCTTTTCATTTAAAAGATTGAAACGTAAGATAAAAATTAAGATAAGTTTAGTTGGTTGGTAGTGATGGTGTTGATGGCGGCGGTGGTGGTGTTGGCACTAACAATGGTGGTAGTAGCGGCGGCGGCGGCGGTAGTGACCGCGGTGGTGGTAATGGCATTGCTGGTGGTACAAGGTGATGAAAAGGGATATTCATTAATGGCGGTGGCGGAAGCCATATAGGACGTTGACGAAAAGGGAAATGCATTAATGGCGGTGGTGGTCCTGGTCCGCGATTTCGTGCTTCTCTCCTTGACACCACCTTCAGCTTATAAGAAGAGAGTACTATTATCCCTTCACCCATTGTTGAAGACCTGGAAGCAACTTCAGTCGCCATAGCCATATTGCTTCTACTACACCCTAAAAGTAGAAATACATGGACACCCATCAACAAAATTAAGGTATGCCAAATTGCCATTCTCATATTCTTGCTTTTATGGGTTGCAAGCAGTGTAGCTTTCATATATATATATATATATATATATATATAATATGTGGGTGTTTTTGCGAATGGCATAATGTCCTGTGACCCCATATCATAATGACAGCATGACTTACGGTAGCCCTTCCATTCAATCCCTCTCTCTCTATATAAATACTTAACCTAAAGATACTCGTCAACTTAATATTAGATTGACTTCTACTAAAACAATAATGACTGGAAAAGATAATTGCCATTGGCTTGTTATGTTAATGGTAGTATTGACTTTTCCATTTTAGTTTGTAAAACGCATATAATATAATTTTTAGAAGAGTTTATATAATTATATAAAGAATAAGATAAACACTATTTTACTTGAACTAAAATTTTATAAAATAAAATATTTTTAATGATTTTTTTTAAAAAAATTATTGTATCTTACATTTTAGAAGAAAATATGTATTTTGAATAAAATATTAGGAAAAAAATAATTAATCAAGAGTTTATAATATGCATAATTTAAAATTTAATTTTAAAGTTTATAATCAACTAAAAAATTAAATAAATAACTATTGTATTTGTAATTAATTAAAAATTAAGTTCTACTTTATATTAAAAAATTAAATTAATAATTATTATAAATAATTATTTTATCTATTTTACCTATATATATTATTTTAACTAAAAATTTATAGGTAATTGTCATCTATATTTAAATTAGAATATATAAGTAGCATTGACTAGTTAAATTTTTTTTAATTAAAATAGCATAAAATTCTTTCAATAATTATGATCAAATAATATAACTGATTACCATTTTCTATCGTAATAAAAAATAAAAATTATTTTAAAAATATACATTATTATGTTATTTTCTTTTAAAAAATATTTTTTAAAGAAAGAAAATGTCATGTGGCAATTATTTGGTCCTTACACATATAATGATTTTCTTTAATGTTTGATGTTTTTCTTTTTTGTTACTTACAGTGATTATTGTGATTTTCGGCCTATATGTTATACCAAGAGTAGTAAATAAATTAAATTTTATAAGGTATTTAATTAATTTTAAAATAAATGAGAAAAATTCACTTATGAAATTTAGCAAAATTTGAAATTATTATTGGAAATTTCATATAAGGTATTTAATTAATTTTAAATAATCGAGAACAAGTCACGTAGGAAATTTAATAAATTTTGAAATTATTATGAAAGGGTCAAATATGAGATTTAATTGATTTTGACATAAATAAAAAAGGCACTCGGGGAATTTAATAAATTTTGAAATTGTTATGGGGGGATGTAATTAATTTTATAATATTTAAGAAAAAGTCAATAGCAGATTTTATTTAAATCTGAAATCATCAAGAAAAAAATAATAAATAAATAATATCATGGGTATTAAGAATATTAAGACAGAACTTTCATGTTAAGAAATTAAAATTTGAGCATATTAAATATCGAGTTAATAGAAAGACACGTAATTTAGTCAGCATCAAAATATAAGAAGCATAAGAAAAGAAAAACAAATCAAATAAAAAATAGAGATAAATTTTACTTATTCTAACGAGCAGCAATAAAGTACAAAGAAATGAAATTTTGTACTCACCATAATTCGTAGTGAGCATTCCAACTTCAATAACAATGAAAGTATGATAAGAAAACCTAAACAAATCAAAAGGGCATAATAAATTTCTCAAATAAGCACATAAGTATATTCCACGTAGTAAGTAAGAAATAGAGAAATAATTATAATTTGGTAATGAGAGAATATAACGTAAAAAATAAGTATAAGCTTGAGTCTAAGTGTTAAGGATCAAGGTAACTTGTAAAGATATTATAACCCGTTTGATCATATATTACGGAGAGGAGTTTTTGTGCATAGTCAAAATTCGGCAGAATAAGTGTTGGTAAACCTTGTGAAGTGGATGTATGATTGAGTATAAGTGTTAAGTGTTAAATGACCACATTTGTAAAGTATTGTCGTAGCATGTGTTATCGTATTAGTGATAAGTGTACAAGTATTATCGAATCAGTGTTAAGTGTACATATATCCATTTTGATAATATGAACACCTAGTGTCGTCCTTGATAATAGTTAAAGTAGCATCGTGCGATAAAATATCAGTGTCTAAGTGTTAAAGTATAAAAGTTTAAATATTAAAGTATAAAATGTACGTGTTAAAGTGAAAAAAGTAAGTACTAAAGTATTAGAGTGTCAAGAATATCTTATAGAGTGTAAAATATTAAGCTACAAATGTAAGATGATAAATGATAAGTATAAAGTGTTTCAAGCACTGTGCACACTTGAAAAGTGAAATGTAATAGCACATCAAATGATAAAAAAATAACATGAGAAAATATAACAATGCATAAAATGAATTTAAGGTACGAAATCGAATTAATGGTATTACGAAAAATCATGCTAAATGTAAACACTGATATAAATGCGAAATCAAATTTTAAATACAAAAATATCGAATTTGATATATAGTTATGTGCATATGTAAACTTGATTCAAAAATAAAAAAATCGACTTATTATCCAATTGAGGAAAATGAACAGTGGGTAGAAGGTGAAGTGAAGAATGGTCAAGTCACTATGCACGAAGTAAATGTTTTATACATAATTTTTTTTAGCGTGTTATCAAAACATTTTTTTTTGAAAAAATTTACTTTTAAGCTAATTTATCATTTTTGGTATGTTGTTTTCATATCTATTATTGGATTACCACATCATTTCTTTTAGTACGTGAAACTCACTCCAATTCATCAATTTCATATAAGAAAAACCAAGAAAAAATCTAGAACCAATAAGACACTGAAGATATTTTTATTTTGAGTGTCTTGGAAACCCTACTATAAGGTTGATTGAACTTTCAAATCTAAACTTATTATATCATTGGTTTTGTAAAGTGGGTGTCTCATGTATTTTGGTCTAATATTACTATGTATCATTTAAATGATGAAAATGACTTAATTAATTTACTGTATTAACTGTAAGTTAAAATTTTAATTTATCTGTAAAATTTTACTCGTTAATGCCCGTAGCTCCAGTGGAGTACGGGATGCCACAATCAACGTATAACAATGAATTTTTCATTTTTATAGGATGTTGAGGGAATCTTTTCTAAAAGCTTTCACCAAGAATATAGGGTATTGAGGGAAGAACGTTTCTAAAAAGTTTTATCGACGGTTTGTTTATTGGTGAAAGCTTTTAGCATGATTTTTTTATACTCGTTTGCTTTCGAAAATTTTAAAAATTAAAAATAAAATTATTTTAAATGTCTTAAAAATATTATCATTATTTAGTTTATATTTTCAATTAAATTATAAATAGAATTGTTGTAGATGTGCAAATCAGTATGAGGATAAAGTTACAAAACATAACTAAAGTACCTAAATTTTATAATATTTATATTCATTCATAATATTCCTTGGAAATATTAAATACATTTTTTTTTTATTGCAAAAATTTTCAGTTAATAACCTAAAATTTACAATTTTGAATTTCATAATCAATACTTCCAAGATTTACATACATGCCCTAAAATAGAAGTTAATACTTTAAGATAAAGAAATGTAATAATAAGATTATTTTACTAAAACCTTATAATGTGCATAAATAAAAAAAGTGTATTTGTTGGGGCTATTTATTCTTCGTTTATGGCAACATGACACGGTAGGGTATTGAAGCTCTTTTTTCTTTTTTCTTTTTTCCTTTTTTTTTTTTGGTTGAAAATGACAAAAAATATATATATATATATATATATTTTCTTCTTTATGAGGGGATGACTTTTATAATCACGATTTTTACTTTATGGTGGTAGTGAATTGTTCTTTTTCTTTTTGTCTTCGTGGGAAGGTACCTTCTTTGGTTGATGATAAAAGTAGGAAGAAGTTTGAAGAAATCTAATTGAGTGAATCGATGTATTGTGCATAAGGTTGAGGAAAAATATTTACTTTTATATTGCACTTATAATAGTTGAAAATATTTATATAGTATGAGAAAATGAAACTATTGGCACCCCTTGCAAAGCAGACGAGGAATCTTGCAATCTTACAATGTTTGGACAACCGTGTATGGAATTATGGGAATGAATTAGGCTTATTTCCCAACTCTGTTACTTATTTGGAGCTGTGGGTTTGATTGGGTATGTGTAAAAGGAATGAAATATATATATATATATATTTATTTTTAATGCTGCTAACTCTTTCTACAGTTTCCTAATCCCTGAATCCTTTGTTTCTCTCCCAACAGTCTCTGCACTGGAGGCGGAACGACAGGGATGAAGTTTAAGTCATTTCTTACTGAAAATGGAGTAAATCTCTTAGAAAAGAGGTTTCTCCCAGCCCTAGAAAAAATGGGAAAGTTATGCCATCTCTTCCTTACGAGAGACCATGTTATGTTTCTCCACAATCTTCTCAATGGTGATGGAATCCAATGCATTGCTCAGTTTCGCAAGCAAGCTCTCTTCGATGATTATCGTATCTCCAGCCAGAATGACGACCGCATTGCTTTCGCCGTAGATGTCTCGCTTCTCTATCGTGCTGTTCGCAGCAGTGTCAGCATCTGTACTGATTTCAGTAATGGACCTACTGCTAATCGGCTCCAAATGAAATTGGTGAAAAAGCTGCCTCCAAATTCTACTCAATCAATGCCTTTTCTCACTTTCGAAACTAAGGGTTACAAGAGTGCTGTTATTCAAGATGTGCCGATCTCGAAACCATTATCTAGGGCTCAACTTCATGAACTTCAAACTGCTCTTGATATGACACAAGATCTACCTCAAACTCTGGTTCAAGTTCCAGATTCAAATCAGTTGCAGAACTTTGTGGATCGCATGAAACATGTTGGTGATGTTCTAAGCATCTCTATAAGCAAATGCGGGGATCTACATTTACAGATTTCAACAACTTTAATCAGGCTTGGTGCTGAATTTCGGAACTTGTTGGTGATCGGAGAGCAAGCTGAAGCTCCAGCCGAAGATCGAAATCTCAGTGCTCAGACACGGTCAGATAGAGCAATTTTGAGGGGAGATGCTCAATCCGTCCAAGTGAGTGTGAGACACTTTTTTAGAAGCCTTCAATGTCAACTTGCCAAGCCAGATTGTGCTTTCTATGGGATTTCTCCACAAGGTGCCTGCTTGACGGTAATATTCCAGTTCTTCATTCCTGGAACACGTCAGACAGATAAGTCTATCAGTTTACATTGCAGGCTTCCTGTACTCGACCCAGGGTCAAACTGAAAATTTATTGTAGCTAAGTATATAGCTTCGGCCTTAAGATTACGATACTAGTTGAATCCTTCTCTTAAATTGTTCTAATTCAGAGTTGCAGTTCCCTGTGTAATCTTCAAGAAGCTATTTCCAGGGAAAACATAGCTCATCCTTACTTTGGTTAATACAATCACTGATATATATCAAGGTAAAATTTTAGAATCATTGTTCATGTGTCTGCTTATTTGTACATCGACGAGCTTGTGCACATAATAAGCATTTCTATGGTTTTAGAAGGCAGTCTTTTTTGCCTATTTGACATTATGTTCTCAAAAGAAGGTTTCTTTTGTCTTGTCTTCTTCCCTCTCACTTGAGTGCAAAGTATATGGTGAATGGTAATCTTTACATTCTTTTTTGTACTTTTAGATTGTAGCTGTTTAGAGAATTCTTAGGTTTTGCAGAACTTTGTCAACAAAAATTAGTATAGAATTTCTATAGTTGAACTGCTGCGGAGAACTTATTTGGTTTCCTAATAGATGTAGGCTGGGGGGTGGGCATTCATCTTGTTCTGGGCTTTGACACCCTCTCATAGTATTATGGTATACAGATGAGAAAAAATTAACATTCAAGGAGAGTGAACTTAAGTTAGAGTAAACATGGGGTTAATAGATTAATCTTATATTCAACATGAGTTATGTAATATAAATCTTCCCATTGTCTGTCTGGATAAAACAAATAAGGCAAAATATTGGATCAAGTGACTGTATAGCAAGAGAATGTCTGATTCTCTTTAATAAGTCCTGTAACTTACATAAGTTCACAATCAAATTTGATTATGTTTTTTATTTACATTAAATTCCAAATAAAATTTGTAAATGAAATCATGATGTAGCCCCTCAATTTTGAAATCATAATAAAATTTGGCTAAGTATTTTTAGTATCCATTACTAAAAGTGTTTTGAGAAGTATGGATAAAGTCTTTTCCAAGAATTCTGGTATTCTGAAATATTTTTTAATATTCTCAATACATTGGAGACATACAGCTTTGATACCAACTTCGCCATACGATGACAATCTGTGCACATTCCTAGGTTCTTCACAATTCTAATTGTGACACTGGGTCCTGTCTTGATGAACCCAAGGGCCATAGCTAACCTCTCACTGTGAAGATAAAGTCTACTTTCTTTATCCTCTTCTTCTAAATCAATGAACACCTCTGAAATATCAGGTGAGTAGCCAGCAAGTTTTAAGTCCCTCGCCATTTCTTCTAACTTGGAGTAGATTTCCTCAGATTCAGGATGAGACTGGTCCCCAGCTATGAATTCATGAACAACACCATTCATCTCTATCAAACTGCAACCTGGAATCTTATTCACTCCTCTGTCCATCATCAATTTTCTCACTGTGAAGATAAAGTCTACTTTCTTTATCCTCTTCTTCTAAATCAATGAACACCTCTGAAATATCAGGTGAGTAGCCAGCAAGTTTTAAGTCCCTCGCCATTTCTTCTAACTTGGAGTAGATTTCCTCAGATTCAGGATGAGACTGGTCCCCAGCTACGAATTCATGAACAACACCATTCATCTCTATCAAACTGCAACCTGGAATCTTTTTCACTCCTCTGTCCATCATCAATTTTCTCACTGTGAAGATAAAGTCTACTTTCTTTATCCTCTTCTTCTAAATCAATGAACACCTCTGAAATATCAGGTGAGTAGCCAGCAAGTTTTAAGTCCCTCGCCATTTCTTCTAACTTGGAGTAGATTTCCTCAGATTCAGGATGAGACTGGTCCCCAGCTACGAATTCATGAACAACACCATTCATCTCTATCAAACTGCAACCTGGAATCTTTTTCACTCCTCTGTCCATCATCAATTTTCTCACTGTGAAGATAAAGTCTACTTTCTTTATCCTCTTCTTCTAAATCAATGAACACCTCTGAAATATCAGGTGAGTAGCCAGCAAGTTTTAAGTCCCTCGCCATTTCTTCTAACTTGGAGTAGATTTCCTCAGATTCAGGATGAGACTGGTCCCCAGCTACGAATTCATGAACAACACCATTCATCTCTATCAAACTGCAACCTGGAATCTTTTTCACTCCTCTGTCCATCATCAATTTTCTCACTGTGAAGATAAAGTCTACTTTCTTTATCCTCTTCTTCTAAATCAATGAACACCTCTGAAATATCAGGTGAGTAGCCAGCAAGTTTTAAGTCCCTCGCCATTTCTTCTAACTTGGAGTAGATTTCCTCAGATTCAGGATGAGACTGGTCCCCAGCTATGAATTCATGAACAACACCATTCATCTCTATCAAACTGCAACCTGGAATCTTATTCACTCCTCTGTCCATCATCAATTTTCTCACTGTGAAGATAAAGTCTACTTTCTTTATCCTCTTCTTCTAAATCAATGAACACCTCTGAAATATCAGGTGAGTAGCCAGCAAGTTTTAAGTCCCTCGCCATTTCTTCTAACTTGGAGTAGATTTCCTCAGATTCAGGATGAGACTGGTCCCCAGCTACGAATTCATGAACAACACCATTCATCTCTATCAAACTGCAACCTGGAATCTTTTTCACTCCTCTGTCCATCATCAATTTTCTCACTGTGAAGATAAAGTCTACTTTCTTTATCCTCTTCTTCTAAATCAATGAACACCTCTGAAATATCAGGTGAGTAGTCAGCAAGTTTTAAGTCCCTCGCCATTTCTTCTAACTTGGTGTAGATTTCCTCAGATTCAGGATGAGACTGGTCCCCAGCTACGAATTCATGAACAACACCATTCATCTCTATCAAACTGCAACCTGGAATCTTTTGCACTCCTCTGTCCATCATCAATTTTCTCACTGTGAAGATAAAGTCTACTTTCTTTATCCTCTTCTTCTAAATCAATGAACACCTCTGAAATATCAGGTGAGTAACCAGCAAGTTTTAAGTCCCTCGCCATTTCTTCTAACTTGGAGTAGATTTCCTCAGATTCAGGATGAGACTGGTCCCCAGCTACGAATTCATGAACAACGCCATTCATCTCTATCAAACTGCAACCTGGAATCTTTTTCACTCCTCTGTCCATCATCAATTTTCTCACTGTGAAGATAAAGTCTACTTTCTTTATCCTCTTCTTCTAAATCAATGAACACCTCTGAAATATCAGGTGAGTAGCCAGCAAGTTTTAAGTCCCTCGCCATTTCTTCTAACTTGGAGTAGATTTCCTCAGATTCAGGATGAGACTGGTCCCCAGCTACGAATTCATGAACAACACCATTCATCTCTATCAAACTGCAACCTGGAATCTTTTTCACTCCTCTGTCCATCATCAATTTTCTCACTGTGAAGATAAAGTCTACTTTCTTTATCCTCTTCTTCTAAATCAATGAACACCTCTGAAATATCAGGTGAGTAGCCAGCAAGTTTTAAGTCCCTCGCCATTTCTTCTAACTTGGAGTAGATTTCCTCAGATTCAGGATGAGACTGGTCCCCAGCTACGAATTCATGAACAACACCATTCATCTCTATCAAACTGCAACCTGGAATCTTTTTCACTCCTCTGTCCATCATCAATTTTCTCACTGTGAAGATAAAGTCTACTTTCTTTATCCTCTTCTTCTAAATCAATGAACACCTCTGAAATATCAGGTGAGTAGTCAGCAAGTTTTAAGTCCCTCGCCATTTCTTCTAACTTGGTGTAGATTTCCTCAGATTCAGGATGAGACTGGTCCCCAGCTACGAATTCATGAACAACACCATTCATCTCTATCAAACTGCAACCTGGAATCTTTTGCACTCCTCTGTCCATCATCAATTTTCTCACTGTGAAGATAAAGTCTACTTTCTTTATCCTCTTCTTCTAAATCAATGAACACCTCTGAAATATCAGGTGAGTAACCAGCAAGTTTTAAGTCCCTCGCCATTTCTTCTAACTTGGAGTAGATTTCCTCAGATTCAGGATGAGACTGGTCCCCAGCTACGAATTCATGAACAACGCCATTCATCTCTATCAAACTGCAACCTGGAATCTTTTTCACTCCTCTGTCCATCATCAATTTTCTCACTGTGAAGATAAAGTCTACTTTCTTTATCCTCTTCTTCTAAATCAATGAACACCTCTGAAATATCAGGTGAGTAGCCAGCAAGTTTTAAGTCCCTCGCCATTTCTTCTAACTTGGTGTAGATTTCCTCAGAGTCAGGATGAGACTGGTCCCCAGCTACGAATTCATGAACAACACCATTCATCTCTATCAAACTGCAACCTGGAATCTTTTTCACTCCTCTGTCCATCATCAATTTTCTTATTTTATGCAAATTTTCCCATTTATTGCAAGCTCCATAGATATTGCACAGCAGAACATAGACAGCCCCATTATCAGGATCTAACTCAAGAATTTTCTGAGCAGCCAGTTCAGCCAACTCTGGTCTCTTATGAACTCTACAGGCTCCAAGAAGAGTCCCCCAAACAATAGTATTAGGTTGCATTGTCATGTTGTTAATAATTTCATGAGCTTCTTTTAGCTGCCCAGCTCGGCCAAGGAGATCAACCATGCACCCATAATGTGTTACATTCGGCTCAATCTTGTGTTCGGAGATCATGGTAGAAAAAAACTTTCTTCCTTCATCTACCAGGCCAGCATGCGTGCAGGCAGAAAGAACGCCAACGTATGTCACCTCATCTGGCTCTATTGAAGCTTCTAGCATTTGCAAGAACATGTCAATGGCTTCCTCAGCATGCCCATTGATAGCAAGACCAACAACCATGGCTGTCCATGTAAATTTGTCCTTGTGAGACATTTGATTAAATGTCCTCCATGCTCTCTCAATACTTCCACATTTGAAATACATGTCAATCAAAGCATTCCCCACAAAAACATCATTCTTGACCTTCTTCTTTTCGATATAGGCCCTTACCCATTCGCCTATTTCTAGTGCACCCAGATGGGCACAAGCTGTTAAAACACTAACCATAATGAACTCATTTGGTTCAATATTTGAAGCTTGCATCTCACGGAATAGTGTCAAAGCCTCTTTGAAGCAACTCATTCGAATGTAGCCATGAATCATGGCCGTCCAAGAGACACTATCTCTTTCAGGCATTTGATCAAAATAATTTCTAGCTAAATCTATCTTCCAGGCATTAACACAACCTGTGACAATAGTGGTCCAAGAAATTACATCCCTAGTCTTCATACCCTGAAAAATGTCAAGTGCAAGATCCATTTCTCCGCAAGCGGCATAAGTATCGATCAAAGCATTTTCCAATATCAAACTAGGTTCAACCCCACAATTCTTTACATAATCGTGTACCTTCTGGCCTATACACAAGTCCTTCAGTTTGGAGCAAGCTGATAGCACCAGAACTAAGGTAACCGAACTTGGTTTTACCGCATTCTTCTCCATCTCACCAAAAAGCCTTATAGTTTCATCATATTGCTTCATCTTGTTATACCCAGATAGCATCAGATTCCAAGTAAAAACATCCTCCTGATAAGTCATATAAAAAATGGCTCGAGCCATACCCATTAACCCACACAAAGAGTACATATGTATTAAGCCATTTTGCACACTCACGCTAGATTCCAACCCAAATTTCACCACATGACAATGCAACTCTTTTCCGATGCACAAGGCAAGGTTGGGAGAGAACCCCTTGAATAAAAATGGAAAGGTGTAAGTATCAGGCTTAACATTCCTCCTCAACATATTTATATAGGCCAAAACACCATTGTAGGCACCACGTATCCTGGAGAAACCCTTGATCATTGTGTTCCAAATGAAAACACTTGGTTCGGGGATTGTGTCGAACACTTGACATGCATAAGACATATCCCCTGTTGGCATTGTACAACACAATGCAATGATGTTGTTGCGTAGAAGTAGGCCTGCTTTGATGGTTTGACAGTGGATTTGCTTCAGCTGGTTCATGCTTTGGCAGTTTGCAAAAGCCGCGGAAATCATCATTTTCTTCTTCTTCATCAGCTGAAGCGCGATTTGAAGAGTGGAAGAACGAGCGGCAAAAGAGAAGGAGAGGGTGTTTCCCAGAAGTGATTTTTTTTTTTTTTTTTTTTTTTTTTTTATATTAACAGAGCTCTGCAACCATCACTTTTTGCTTCTCATCATAGCTCTGCACCAGCTGGGAATCGAACCCGGGGTGTGTGCCGTAGCCAAAAACTATTGAACAAACAACTAGATCACCACTGTTGATGCTTAAAAGTTCCATAAATATATTCATCAAATTTCTTTACTAATTTAATTTGGCTTTAAAACTCAGTAGCTACTTATTTAAGTTGCTAAATTATTCATATAATTTATTTAACGGAATTAAAAAAAAAAAAAAAAAAAAAAAAAAATGAAAAGATAAAAAGGAGAGAGAGCTCAGACGGCACTTGCTGATTATCAAATCAAGAATGAATTATCAGATAGCCGTGACAGACCCAACCCGTCACTCTAAGCTTATCTTCATAGCTCTGTGATCCTGTTGTGGAATCGAACCCGGGAGGGGAGGGAGCGTCAAATCTTAAATAGGTGCTATTCTACCACTAGACAACAGGCGTTCGTGTGTACGAGTTCCACTTAAAAATAAATTATGACGAAAGTATAGAAGTTAATATTTAATTAAATAAATCATCTTCTTACATTGAGAAGAAAACATGAGACTTAAGAATTCGTTCGTTATCATTCAGTTTTTATTAAAACATTCTGTCCCATTTGCCAATATGTTAATTTTTTTTTTTATTTTTTATTTTTTCGTAACACAGAAAGAAATATTATTCAAACTGATTTTATATTAAATAAACTTTACATACAATGGAAATTAAATCATATTGATTATGAACAAGAGTTAATCTAATTATATTAAATAAAGTCTTTCTTAAATGTTTTCACTTTAATATGTTCAAAAATTGTCATCAAATAAATTACAAGTTTGAAAATTAAATTGTAGTAAAAACATAAAACTATATCATGAACCAGATAAAAAATATTTGTCCTACATTCTTTAAATTTTAAGTAATAGAATAAATTGTTTTTTCTTCTATTAGGAAAA